CCCAAATATTTAGACTTCTCTATTGGGTAAGGGTTTCTGGGAATTGTGCAAAACGGGAATTTTTCCCAAGCTTTGCTTCTGAAGCCACCTTCCTGGTGTCGGGAAAGAAAGCATTTAGTCATTTGTTTGAGCATGATTTGCATGATACACTAACTTAGAGAATCAGTTAAGAGTAACAATTTCACCTTAAAACTCTTAAATCCCAGGAGCCCATAGGGATGGAGCTATGGCAGTTCAACCAGCGTCAAACTGCATTAATTCTGCAGTGCAGATTAGGCCTTGGTTGTAGGGAGCAATTTGTCAGAAATGTCACAGCACACAAGAGGGCTAATGTCTCCTCCCTGTCAGTTAGCTGGTGGGGTCTTTTGAAAGTAATTTTATAGCACTTTTAATGTAGATAGCGCCATTTCTCTGCCACTTGAATTCTACAGGTTAGGAATGTGGGGCATGGTATCCAGTGGATATTGTGTGCCCTTGATTTTTTGCATCCAACTGGTTTGGGTGTATGGAGTAAAGGTATCTGAACTTTGTAAATATTGCTCTGCTTTTAAGCCACTTTCCTATAGGATTGAGTTGAATCCTATAGGGTCAACATACACTAAAAATGCTGACACAAAGGTTTCTCTTAGAAAAGACTGTGTATCTAGAATTCTGCACCAAATCCCCTGCTAATTATGTAACGGGAATACAGTGTGCAACCTAATATGCTAAGCAATAGCAGATCATAATGCATAGCGATCGACACTAGAGATTTTCTCATCGACTTTTGATTGCTTTTTTTCATCCAGAGAGATTACGCTTTTGCAGCAAGAACAATAAAGTGTATGGTAGTATCTCCGATATTAACGTTAAGGGCTGGTCTTGCAGGAACTGGATGGTTGGAGAAGACTGCATGGGGCACTGGGAGACTGGGCGGAAAAGGGATATAGGAAGGTAGTGAGGATGCAAAAGAGAGATCTTGAAATTGATGTGCCCAGTCATTTGGGGTTGGTAATATCCAGTGGCCACCTGTTTTAAAAGGGACTAGAAACGTCTTTAAAATAAAATGAGATTGTGAGACTTCGGGATTAGGATAAAGCTACCACACTGAATACATTGGCTGCATTTGCACCGCAGAAATAATGCAGTTTAACACTGCATGGCTTTAACTACCATGCCTCAATGCTATGGGATTCTGGGATTTGTAGTTTTGTGAGCTATAAAAGAGCTCTGACAGAACAAGCTGGTATTCAGACAGGACAGAGGACAGGACATTTATCGTAGGAATGGTCAAAAGGGTAGTCCGGAGTCCGTATGCAGTTTTTTTCAGTCCTAAATGCCTCCAAGTTGCCCAGAAGGTCCTTTCAGTGGCCAAATTAGCGCATGGACTCATCTGGAAACCTGTAGGAGTGGCAAATCAACTTTTAAATACATTATAGCCCCCACAAGTTGTTTAATGTAAAAGATACAAATGCTTTTCAACACCAAATGTGGATTTCTAGTTTTTTATTTGTTTATGTTAGCCAGTCTTTGCAGTTCTCGGGGGGTCCCGAGGGTCACAAAACTGACCTCCTGCAGCTCACCGTCTTCTCTGAAATGTAGTTTTTTAGCAATCCTATACAGATCTCCTTCAAGCCACTTTTTGGGAGAAAGGGGGATATAAATCTAATAAATAAGTAAATACTTGAGAGTAGATTCAAGGGCCCATAGGTTTGTAGCCTGAGAGAGGGTTGAGTTGCCAAATATTCTAATAAGCAGAAGTCTGGATAGAGAAATTTCTTTCAACGGAATTGTGTTTATAAAGCAAATCTGGAGAAATTGGGTTTGGATAATGTATGTTTGTGGTCAGTACTGACCCAGCTTGTTTGCATTTGGTCACGGCCGGTAGTGTCCGTGTCACTGTGGCAGAAAATCAGTTCTGGGATTTAGTCCAAAGTTTTAGAAAGCGATCCAAGCTATTCCCAAACTAGGTCCAGTACTTTTGAAGTTTGGATTAAAACTCAAAATGGATTTATGTTGACATGGGAGCAACCAGCCACTGCTGTTTGCAGAAGCCCCCTTCCTTTATGGTTACAGTCAGTTACAGGAATGTCCAGGAAAGTTTATAAAGGCTTTAAAATTTCTGCTCTTTATTCCTTCAGCATCAGAGTGTTTTCTGTAAGGAGTTGCGATGTGATTTTTCCTGCCCTTTTCTCATTCCGTCCAAGGAACTCGAAGGCCATTGCAGGCACACAGATAAATTGCAATGTTCTAAAAGTGCAAAGATTGCCTTAGCATGGAGGAGAGACAGCAGGTCTGTTATGTAATTGTTGCCTCCCATATGTTCCTGGTGGAAGTGGCATGAGAACTGTGTTAAAATTAATGTGCATGCTTCCCCATAGACACTTGCTGGAAGGGAGTGCATCGTTGATACCAAAATAAACATTTTTTTTCATTGCAAATCCATGTCTTTGAGAGTCATTGCGGGGAAAGTATGTGCATGCATTTGAATCTGTGGAGGGTGAGGGATGGACTACTAAACCAAACCAAACCAAACCCTGCAGATGGGTAATGTTTTGTTGGTGAACCATAAGAACAATTTGGGACTGATGCTTTCCTACACACCGAGGCTTCAATCTTATACACACATGCCCATGGTACAGATCTCCCAGAGGGATATTTCTGTCCTGTTATCTGGCACAGCTGGCCAACAAAATACAACATATGCTCTTAGAAGTTTTTCACATAATTTGTGTCTTTTTGCAATTGTCGTGGAAAAGGATGGAACCATGGCAGTGGAGCAATAGCACTATAAGTCTGTAGTGTGAAAGGCCCCATAGTTTCCAGGAAATTGCCTTCAGAATTACATTTGGGGGAAAAATGCTTTCCATTCTGGTGTAAGTTTGTTTTAAAAAATTAAAACTATAATTAGCATAATAAAGGTTAATACATTGCTTCCAACCTCTGAGAAGAAGCCAACAGCAGCCCTCAGCTTCCTCATAGCTGTAGTGCTAAACGCACAACATAACGCACAGCGGAGCATCAGGTATGAAAGCTAAACATTGGCTAGGATACTATAAACATTAATCCAGTATAGAACTGTTTTGTGTAGCGAGAAGCTTATCTATAATCCTTATTCAGATCTGAAGATCCATACATCCCGGGACCAAACTCAAAGAATCTGCTGTCCTTTTAGGTTAAAAGCTGCTTTGTGGACGCGTGGCAGAATCTGATGAAGCTATAGTACTAGGAAGGAAAAATACTGACTTTCTAATGGACTATATTTTTCCAGCTAAAGTTGAAGCTGCTGCTTATCCCATGGGGGAAATGCAGATGGACATAACAGTTTGAGGAGGACAAGGTAGGCTTGGATAACAACAAAACACCCTTCATCTTTGGCAAGGACAGTCCTCCTGATTAATCCTCTGTCATCCCACTTTTTCGGATACATTTAAAAGGTCCCAGTTTCTTTCTCCTCCCATTTCCCCCCTTTTCCCTCAGCTTATTTCAATTGCTGCAAAAGGAGTTCAAAGTAGTTTGCAGTCTATTAATTCAGCAGGAGGAGCCAGCGTAGTATAGTGGTTTGTTTGAGCCTTGGACTATGGCTCTGGAGATCAGGGTTCGATTGCCCCCTCATCCATGGAAACCCACTGGGTGACCTTGGTTGAGTAACACACTCTCAGCCCAAGAAAACCCCATGATTGTATGATTTTGTACATTTTAGCTGTCTTTTAAATATACCATTTCAATTGCATTTTACATTGAAATAATTTTTAAAAAAATGATTGGGTTGCCGTAAGTCCGAAATGACTTGAAGGGACACAGCAACAAACAAAAACTCAGTTGCAGGGAGAAGAGAGGATGGAAGGAACATTGCTCTTCCCAGTAGACTCAGGGAAAAGCAAACCGTTGCAGCCTCTCCTAATTTGTGTGTTCTTTCTCAAGAATATGTTCCCCATCTTCCCCATGCTCTGATACTGCAAAATGTTGGGAGGTATGGTACAATGGAAAGTATTCAAGCCTTGGAACCATGGCTCTGATTCAGCCCCCACTAGTTGCAGTTAAGCTCTTTGTCTTCTAGAAAAGCACAATTGCATCAAAAGTCACGGCTGTTGCTGTTTTTAGGAAACCAGGCCTGCGTAGCATAGCCCTACCCATGCTTACTCAGATGTACCGTCTCTTGAGTTCACTGGGATGTTTTAAATGTGCTTAGGGCTGCAGCCTACATCCTTAAATTGCCTGCATTTAAGTCATTCACATAACTACTGTTCTGTAGGCTGAAGTCACTGTGGGTACCCTGTTTTGGATTTAAAATGCAGTTTGTTATAAGACTCCCCATGATGAGTTGAAGCAACACTTAATTAAAGCAGGCCAGGTATTTTCTCTTGCTATTTTAAAGGAAAGGTATATTTGTTGTTATTGTTAACTGCCCTCGAGTTGATCTTGACTCATGGCGACCCTATGGATGAGACATCCCCAAGACCTTCTGTCTTCCTCTGCTCTGCTTAAATCCTCCAACCCTTTAATACCCGTAGTGACCTCCTTCATCCATCCATCCATGTGGCATTCCTCTCTCCCTACTTCCCTCCACCTTTCCCAGCATTATTGTCTTTTCCAAAGAGTCCTCTCTTATGATGTTTCCAAAATATGACAGTCTCAGTTTGGTTATCTTGGCTTCCAGGGAGGTTTCCGGTTTGATCTGCTTTAGGATCTATCTATCTTGAAATGGTTCACTAAAAACACAAAAGCTTTTGGAAATACTCTTTGCATTATTTTCTATGCAGTCCCCCACCCTTTTTCTTTTTCTCTCTCCCCCTTAACAAGTGTGGTGACTTTTCATCTTGATGCGTCATGGGCACGATGCATCCACTTGTGCGTCACCCTCTCAATTGGCACCGTGAAAAGGCCAAGCAGAGACTTTGTTCCCTGCTGAATCCTGCCTCCTACATTTGTTCGCTTTCATTCAAAAGCTGATTCCTTACAAAGGAAACTTCCTGCTCCAGACTTCACTATATTTTACTGAGTAATAATACCGCATGAGAGCCTGTGTGGCATAATGGTTTGAGTGTTGGATTGTGTTCTGGAGACCAGGGATTGATTCCCAGCTCGGCCATGGAACCCACTGGGTGAGTTTGGGCAAGTCACATTCTCTTGGCTTCAAAGGATGGCAATGGCAACCCCCCTCTGAACAAATCTTGCCAAGAAAACTCTTTGATAGGTGTGCTTTAGGGTTGCCATAAGTGGTAAATGACTTGAAGGCACACAGCAACATTCATATTGTGTCCTTCTGTACAGGGAACTGGAGAGGTTGCTTTGGGTCCAGGGGTGAAGGTTTCACAGCTTGTGAACTGCATATGGCCCATGGGTGGCTCCATTGTGGGCCATGGGATCCTGACTGACCCCCTCACAAGCTGTTATCACTTCCTCTAATCCCTCCCACCACCAATTTTTCACCAAAAATCCCACAAGCTGCTTCAAGCATTTTTAAAAATTCTGATTGGAGCATTGGATTTGAGTGTTGGACTATGACTCTGGAAACCAGGTTTTGAATCCCAGCTCAGCTATGGAAACCCATTGGGTGACCTTGCACAAGTTACACTCTCTCAGTCTCAGAGGAATGCAAAGGCAAGCCCCCTCTGAAGCAACATGCCAAGAAAAACCCATGATAGGTTTGCCTTAGGACTGCCATATGTTGGAAATGACTTGAAGGCACATAACAAGAGCAACAGATGAGAAACACCCCCCCCACTCTGAAAGAGGAAATCCTCCTCCCCCCCCAACCCATAGGTTTTTCAAGTGTCATGTCATTTTTAGATTTTCAGGCAAAGTGATCTGGAGATGTTGCAGACTGAATCTGGGATCTTGCAGGCCAAGCATGTGCTGCTCTCCTATTGAGCATCACTCTTTCTAAATCCATGCTTCCTCTCTCCACAAAGCCCAGGTCTAGAAGGGGAGGCTGAGAGAAGATAGCTGGGTTAGTGCTAGCATTGAACAAAATGAGGCCAGGATTTTGGGCAGCAGCAAATGAGGATGAGGGGCTTACATATTTCATACCCTAAAATTCTTTCCTTCCTGAGCTGCCTGGAAAATTCTAAAGAGACCACGAATACCCTGCATCATGAGCTATTTCAAATAAATCTTAACTGGGGAAAAAATCCAGTAGGAATAGGAAGGATATCTCCATTATTTCAGTCTTTGGGTCTTTAATAAAGAGAATGGATTTCTTTTCTTTTCAAAATCATTCCTTTAAATTTTTCTATAATCCTTTTAAGTAGTCCCCCCCATACTTGAACCAAAAGCTGATTTGCAAATAATTGCACATGGGGCAGGGGGAGGGGGAGAATAAGTGGTTTTTAGACCAAGCTGTGCATTTCATACTATTAATTGAAACCCTCTGGGAGATAATGTGTTCCTTCTCCTATTATAAGCCGCTCCTATTATAAGCCTTATAAGCCGCTATTAAAATTATCCTTTCCACTCTGTTTTTGGCCAATGAGCTCTGGATGAGATTAAGGCGGCAGTTAGAATGGAGCAAACTTGCTTTGCCTTTCCCTCCTTCTCTTCTTGGATGGGCACCCTGGTTTTTCAAGAAGGTCAAACGGCTGATCGGTGGTGACTATTGTCTGCTTTCCTGCATTTAACCACCTAGTCTGGGATTCAGGCAAGATGGGTATGGCCATAGAGCCTACGTTTTCCAGTCAAAAAGGTCCTAGGTTTAAGGCATGCGCCAGAATCATACCCTCCAAATTTAGGCAATACTCATAACTTTGTCTCCCTCTGTCTAAGGACTTCATCACATATGTCTGTTGTCTTGCCACAGTCACACTAGTTTCATAACAAAAGCATACCAGTTCTGTATTAATCTTTATCACACGTTTTCTGCATTAGTGCTTTAGCCTTGCTTTGGTGATCCATGGCAGTGCAATCTGATTTCTGCACCACCACCATAATGCCATCTTCTGATTTGTCTGCCCACAAAAGAAGAAATGAGAGTCTCTTCTTTACAAGAAGAAGACCCTAATTTCTTCTTTGTTTGAGGATTTGGGTGGGGAGAAACCAAATGTGTCCCTCCACTTGCCAAAGAAGAAATGAGAGTCTCTCCTAGTGAGGAGAAGACTGTCATTTCTTCTTAGATGGGATTGAGGGGACAGGGAAGAAAATAAAGCAGAAAAACAACAACAGCTTGCCCTCCTAGAAGAGGAGACACTGGCACCACATGACTGCCCAATAGTGGAATTGCTGCAAATTATCACAACTGAGAACAAATGCTACAGCGGTGCATATGGGAGCTTATTGATGGATTTTCCCTGTCAATGAAAATGGATGGACATAATGGCAAAGCTCTGAACAATCTTGCAAAGAAAACCCCATGATAGGTTCACCTTAGGGCCACCATAAATTGGAAACAACTTGAAGGCACACAACAGCAACAACAACAAAACCACAACAACAATGCCTTTTAATTAAGGAAAGCAGTGACAAAACAGTGATGATGATAATGATATAAGTATTGCCAAAAGTGTTATTCCCTTGCTTTAATAGTGTTTTTAAAGCTTCCTGTGATAATTTCCAAGGAATTAACAAATCATGTTAGGTCCTTTGTTCAATCCAAGCACTGGGTAGCTTACAGTGTTGTATTACTTCCAACTAAAGCTTGGAAAATTTCATTTTGGGGTCCACAAGCAAGTATTCTGAGTATTGTGGTCCAAAAAGAATGAACCTTTTCAAACTTTGGTTGGAAGTAACTTCATCAGTCATCACAGTTCAATGTTTCAGTGAACCAGATCGCTAAGAAAGATCAGGTTTAAGTGAAATTATTTAGCAAAACACTATGATTATTGTGTTCATTTTATGACAGAATATGTATATATGTATAGACCTACAACTAACATGCTTGGCTTCCAGAGACTGTAAAAGAATGCAATCACATCACCAGTGATTTAAGGGTATAGGTGCTCATGTTGTTCCATTAGGGGAGAAATGCAAAAAGTCATGGTAAAATAAAACCTTTATTAGGGCCATCTAATATAGTGAGCAAGCTTTCAAGTTGTAATAAATGGGAGTCCCTCCATTTGTCAGAGCCTTCTAAAAAAGGGCTAACTGTGGTGTGTGTGTGTGTGTGTGTGTGCTGTGACTTTATATGAAGTGAGCTGATGTCACTGGTGATGTGAGGGCAACCATCCAATCAGATGACCATTAGAGTAGAACCTTCTGGATGGTTGCTGAGGAGAGAAAAAGGCGTAAGAAAGGAGAAGGCCTGAGGGAGAGCAAGACCTTGGCCTGCCTCACTACTAGTCAGGGAAGTCAGGTTTGCAGTATGTTCATGTTTGGTTGACAAGATTATACACTCGTCCCTTTCCATTTGCAGCTTTGACTTTTGTGGATTTGATTATTCACGGATTTTATTAATACGTTATCTCTAGGAATATCTAGGTCCTCCAGTGCAACTGTATGGTCAACTTGAACCAAAAGTCGCACTGAAGGACCTAGAGATTCCTAGAGAGAACACTCCACTAGGCATTTGTAGCTTCTCCAGCGCAACTCTTTGGTCAACTTTAACCAAAAGTCGCACCAAAGGGCCTAGAAATTGTCTATGCTGGAGGTGGGTTTATGACATGTGCAAGCGGTATAGAAATGTACTTGTTCTTGCTATTCTAGATCAGAATCCAGATCGTCTGGTGAAGTGATGGAAGAACTAAGGTATAGCAACACTGAATAAATAGACTGCTCTATGACACAGCCACAATGAAGAGTCTGGACAAGTTTCTGAGAAGATGGCCAGATTCACATTGATGGCCAGATTCATGTTGATGTGGCTGAGGATCCTCTTGCTTCTGTTCACCTTCTCGCTGCCATCTAATGCTGGGAATGGAGTGCCAAGCCATAATAACACAGTAATTATAGGCATGAGGTTGGAGGAAACCACCAAACCAGGGCCTGCAGCCCTGAAAGACGGCATCATCCAAGTCATAGAGGGAAGTAACATCAAGCTTCGAATCTATGGCCAGGGTATCCATAAATTCACTTGGCAGATAGTGTATTTTGCTGAAATGGCTCCAGTGGGTACGAGTTCTCATAGTCTTAATGACAGCACCTGCCTCGAAAAGAGCAGTGACTTACTGGTGCAGCCGAACAGTTATGATGTCCGGGAAACTTCTGCAGTACTGTCTGTAGTAGTCCAGACTCTGCGCAAGCACATCCACTCCCAGTACTATGTGATGTGCCTCAAGAAAGATCATGGGCAACCAAAGCAGCGGCCTGGGGAACACAAATTGTTCATCCAAGTGGTGGAGGAGAAGAAGTTGGAACTCCCGGTCTGGCTTCTAATCATCTTAATGCTTCTTCTCTTGGGACTCTCGGCTATGTTCAGTGGCCTCACCTTGGGCTTGATGTCTCTGGATATCAATGAGCTGCGCATTGTGCAGAATTGTGGCCCACCTATGGAGAGAAAATACGCCGCCCGTATTGAGCCCATCCGTCGGAAGGGCAATTACCTGCTGTGTTCTTTGCTGCTAGGCAACGTTTTGGTCAACGCATCTCTTACCATACTGTTTGACATTCTTGTCGGTGCAGATCTTGTGGCTATTGCAGCCTCTACCGTTGGCATTGTCATCTTTGGGGAGATACTCCCCCAAGCCCTCTGCTCTCGTCATGGTCTGGCCATTGGTGCTAACACTATCTTCATTACCAAGTGTGTCATGGTGCTGACTTTCCCACTCGCTTATCCCATTAGTAAATGCCTGGACTATGTGCTTGGCAAAGAAATGGGCACGATGTACAACCGAGAAAAACTGAGGGAAATGTTGAGGCTGACGCAGCCTTACCTTGACCTATTGAATGAAGAGCTGAATATCATCCAAGGAGCCCTTGAAATGACCACTAAGACAGTAGAATGTGTTATGACTCCATTGCAAGACTGTTTTTTGATCAGCAGTGATGCTATCTTAGACTTTGATACCATGACAGAGATCATGGACAGTGGGTATACTCGCATCCCCATCTATGAGAGAGAACGGTCTAATATTGTTGATATGCTCTATGTTAAGGATCTAGCCTTTGTGGACCCTGATGACCATACCCCACTCACAACAATCACCAAGTTTTACAACCACC